CATAGATCCTACTGTACCTGTTCATGCAAATAATACATCCACTTCAGAAGAAAGTATCCCTGCCGACATGCCCACGCCCAAAACGACACATGCACTCCCTGAAGGCTCCACTACCGTTCCAGATGTTGTTGAATCCGAATTGGGACGTGGTCAGCGTGTCGATTTCCATCTGTTAAGCTTAAAGACTACATCACTCACACTGTTGTTAGTAATTGTCCATCCCCTTTGTCACCCACCTCTCAGCTTACTCCAGGTACTCCTTTTCCTTTAGCACATTATATTCATTGTGATAATTTTTCTAAGCGGCAACAGGAGTTTCTGGTAGCTGTAAGTGCAGGTATAGAACCACACACTTTTACCGAAGCTATGATGGATTCGGGTTGGCGGCGTTCTATGAAATCTGAGATTGAGGCTCTAGAAGATAACGGTACTTGGACTCTCGAGCCTTTGCCTCCTGGTAAGAAAGCTTTAGGCAGTCGCTGGGTGTACAAGATTAAATATAACTCTGATTGCAGTATTGAATGGCTTAAGGCACGCTTGGTTGTTCTTAGCAATCACCTGGTTGAAGACATTGATTATACTGAAACTTTTGCCCCTGTAGCAAAAATGGTCAGGGTAAGTGCTTTTCTAGCTGTGGCTTTTCTAAAAATTGCGAGTTGCACCAAATGGATGTGCACAATGCCTTTCTTCATGGTGACTTAAATGAAGAGGTTTATATGAAGTATCCTCATGGGTTTCGTTCTTCTTCTCCAAATATTGTGTGTAGATTACGAAAGTCACTTTATGGTTTGAAATAGGCGCCTCATTGCTGGTTTGCTAAATTGGTAGGTGCACTTAAAGCCTATGGTTTCTGTCAATCTTATGCAGATTATTCTCTGTTTACATACACGAAAAATAATATTCAAATCAGTGTCTTAATTTATGTGGATGATTTACTAATTTCTGGTACTCATTCCGCCGAGCTCATCCATTTTAAGACATATTTGAGTACATGCTTTCACATGAAGGATTTGGGGGTTCTGAAATATTTTTTGGGTATCGAGGTGGCTCGTGGTCCGCTTGGTTTATTTCTTATCCAACGGAAATATACCCTTGATCTAATTTCTGAGAATGGATTGCTTGGTGCTAAACCTGCTGCTTTTCCTATTGATCAACATCACTCTTTGGTTTTCGCTTCTGGTGATTTTCTTTCAGATCCGCTTATCGTCGTTTGGATGGACGTCTTATTTATCTTGCTGTTACTCGCCCGGAATTATGTTATTCTGTTCATATTTTGTCACAATTTATGAATCAACCACGCACAGACCATTGGATGGAGGTGTTGGAAAATTGATTGTATTTCAAATAAAATAAATACTCCATAATTTGTAACGGATGTGTATGTAACCACACAGATGGGACTTGTAACGAGGAATTAATTTGCTTGGTCTAGCTTCTTTCTCTCCACTTTTATAGGATCCACTAACCACTTTTAGATTTATTTCCATTTTTCTATTTATTATACTACTTATATACAATATTAATCTCGAAACCCACTAGTGAAGAGATATAGAGAAACAAACTCTTCTCTTCAATTGAACTCCTCTGCAAACTTCACAAAAGCTTCCATTAAAACGCTTTCTTACAAAAGCTTGTGCTGGATTATAATAATGTTGATTTTCCTCGTAGTTCTGGTACCGACTATTAGTCAAATGGCTCGTTATATCCTGGCGGAAGATTTCCGTTTACCGGAAATACTTTCAGAGGACAACGTTTACGCGTCTCGAGCCACTGTGTTTCTTGTTGTTCTGTTTTGAAGGTGTTTCTCTGTGTTGGCTATACCGAAGCTATTGACCTGCGGTAACACTCCGGCAACTATGAATGAACACAAGACAAGGTGCTGCCATGCAAGAAGCATAGATGGTGATACCTGGGAATAAATATATATACAAAGTATATAAATAAAAAAATAATATATATATATATATAGAAATGCTCGTTAGAAAGCTTAACCCCATATAGCAACAAGTTAAATATATATATATATATATATATATATATATATATATATATATATATATATATATATATATATATATATATATAAATGCTCAGGTCTAGCCGGAGGGACGGGAGCAGCCATCCGAATTTCACTGTTTGGGGCGGTTTCCGGTGGAATTTTTTGATGAAATTTTTTGAGCATGTTCTTCATCAAGTCTAGTTTATCCATACCAAATTTCAGCTCAAAATTGGATCGGGAAGGCATTCAAATCATTTTTTGAAGTTGACTGCGTTTTTATATGTATCAAAAAATTCAACCGGAAACCGCCCCAAACAGTGAAGTTCGGACGGATGCTCCCGTCCCTCCGGCTGGACCTGAGCAGTCCTATATATATTGATACACACACAAATTTGTATGTATTACTCCGATCCCGGCCTCCGGCCCTTCGTACTTTAAAACTGTCATCATTAATGTTTTATGGTCAATCAAGTTAAACTTTGATTAATGATGTAGCAACAAGAGAATTACTGTTGGGTAAATGATCCAATATAGGATCGACTCAATACCACATAAGGAAGAGTAACGGTCCATGAGGAGCACGCGACGCTCGTCATCAGTAGCGGCGCTTGTCGTCCATGCTTTGGATGCTTAAGCGAAATAGTCAAATGGGAGGCCTCAGCAGAAACGCACAGCATCCGTTGAGCGGTGTCTGAGCCTTGCGCTTACTTGGTCCGATATCAGGAGGCCTTCTGGTTTGGAGCATCCTAGGTATTTGGCGAGAAAGTGAAAAATTGACGGGAAGCGCATTTAATGCACCAGATGTGCAAGATTTGGTGGTTGAAAAGCTAGTCACTCATGATCCTCCACACCATCACTACCACCTGCCCCATGGTAGCATAAATATTACTCTCTCCGTCCCAAAATTATTTTATAAAGTCAACATTTTTTGGTCGAACAATAATAAAAGTCAATCCTCTCTATGGATAATTAATTCAATTTTTAATAATTAAAATTTACATATTCAAAAACTACATTGAAATCTCTTTAAAGTTGCAAACTTCAAATTAGAATATATTTAAAAATTGACATCCTAATTAAGTGAATTAATTGAAACTGTTTGACCAAGAAAAGACAAATTTGCAAATCAATTTGGTGACAGAGGCAATAGTATATATTTCATCGTTAGGGGTTGACAACATTTATATATTCACTAGCATTAGTTTTAAACTCTTACAGTCATAACATAGACTAGACGCTTGGTTCAACTTTAGTAGGGTGTGTTGTAATCGTTCGTTATTATTTAAAATAATAATAATAACTCAGCCCACTTATTGTTCCTCCTCTTATTTGATATACACTTGTGCCTTTTCATTCACATACTCATTCAGAATATACATCTAAGCTCAAGGGAACGTGTTGGGCCCTTAGAGTTGGAGGAATTAACCTCAACACGGGCGTCGTCTGTGGGAAACTGAACAAAAAATTCCCGAACAAGCTCTCGTGCTAGCAACACCTTATTTAACTCATCAAACAAGAAACATGGTCAGATTCTCATATGAAGACACTCGAGACCTCTCGTCAACAGCAGAAGATCACGCACTCTTACATCAGCAAAGCCATCAACTGGCAACGAATGGACCCAACACGGCAATAACAAGGGTGTTACGAACATGATCCCCCTCAAGGCTAGGAGGGACCCTCGGATCATGAGGGAATTGACGGAGGCCATGCGATGCATGGCAGACCAAACGACGCAACACGGAGCAGACCGTCTACTCGGCGGAGACCGAGCGTACACGCCTTTCCCCCGTTCGACATATGGAGCCTTTTGGGGAGCATACCGGTGATACTGAGGATTATTACAGTAGGAACCTAACCAGTTTATCGATTGTTTATGAGAAATAGAAAGGTATGAGAAGGCGGTGAAACTCACCAATCAGAATCCGCTTGAGAGGGATTTTGAGAGATACGGAAAGAGTTTAGGACTTAAGGCTGTCGTTCACGGCCATTACTAGTCCGTGACCGTCTCATATGGCTCCTTTGCGATTGGGATATGTTTTACCGAGTATTACATTTTTAAAAATATTGATAAAAAGGTTGTATATACACGAAAAAGTTACAAAATATTTTTATGTTTATATACTTTTCTCTATGTTTATATATTTTATCTTATTTATACGAAGTTTTTAGTGATTTTTTAAGACTTTGTTTCAATTCCATTTACATTGATAATAAATGAAGTTATATCTTCTTACACTTCTTTTAAGCGCGAGTTATATCTTCTTATCCATGAGTCACATTTTCTTATGCGCAGTCACACTTTTATGCGCGAGTTACATTTTATGCGCGAATTACATCATCATTTGTGTGGGTTATACTTTTTTGGCGGAGTTACATCTTTTATGCGTAAGTTATATCTTATTATGCATAATGCATGAGTTATCTTTGAACTTGTCTCAACACGTTACATTTTGCATAGACGTGAGTTACATTTTCCCATAAGCTCGAGTTACATTACATAATAAACCACTGCTATTGAAACAAACAAAAAATTGAAATCATTTTTATGGCCATGATATTAGAAACAAAACGTATTCACTATTTATGTAAGTAATTCAAAATCAGACTCTTTTTTTACTGTTTACATTGATTTCAATGTTTTATTTCTCATACCCCGTAGTGGACAAGTTTGGCCTGCAGTTCCATTTCCCATTAATGTGAGTTGCATTTTTTACACACGACTACACAAGTTGCTCATAACCCTACCACATAAACAAAAAGATGTTGCTCATATGTGTCACTATTCACGAGTGTTTTAACTTTTAACCGGCGATTTTGCAATTTTGGTTAGTTAAAAACTTAAAACTGACATTATTTTGATAATTATTTTTAACTCGACCTTAATTTAGAAATTAATTATTTGTCTAACGTTATTTTGGGGAAAAACTGACTGATTTGTATTAAATTACAAAAACCATTTTCAAAAGTAATTACGTATTTATATTGAATTATCAGGTGTATAATATAAGCTCACAAACGAGTTGAGAGCTTGAGGCAGTAACATTGAATTTTACAGAAGTTCATAGCCGTAAAGAAGATGGAGAAGCTGAAATCTGTAGTACCAAGCGCCCTCCGGCAGCAAATTACAAAGAGCGGTCCTGATGACCTTCCCGCCACTTGTTCTTCCCTCCTCCACTTCTTCAGTCACCTTCCCCTCTTCTACCAGGTAACCAAAAGCTCAAATTTTTGTTTAGTCCAAACAAAACAAGAAATCCCAATCACCTGTTGATTAATTGCTGCCTCCACACTCTGCTAATTTGCCTCTTCTGTCAAGGTTGTTAAGGAGTTGACAGACCCAGAAAATGCTTTGTGTCGCAAGGACTCAAATGCTGCTTCAGAATTAAAGCTTCGCGGCAATGAATCTTTCTCCAAAGGAGATTACCGTAAAGCCATTCATTTCTATACACAGGTTAGGACTGATGACATATGAGTAATGAATGTTTCTTTTTCTGATGTTGATGTTTGGAATTATGAATTTCACTAGTGGTGGATATCATATTCATCATCATCATCATAACCCCGATGCCGATGCCGCAAAGGCCCCCACACCTTCGGTGGGGTAAGGGGTCAGATGTACGCATTCTTACCCCTGTACTAAAGAAGTGCACACAGTTTAGTAAGCCATTTTGCTTTATTACATCATATTCCAAGCCAAACATTATTGAGTCTTTGGCTCCATTGCAAATGAAGGAGAAAGTGGTGGATATCATATTAAGTCATGAAAATACAAAACACTAATAAACACTTAAAGCTTTGAACTAACCTTTATTTTACACAGGTGAGGACTTTGACAGATGAGTATTTGAATGTTTCATCTTCTGATGTTGGGGTTTGGAATTATTAATTTAGCTAGTGGTTGATATCAATATTAAGTCCTCTTATTGAGGAATTCAAAAAAACTAATATAGGCATAAAGCTTTGGACTAATCGTCCTATACTAGCTGTTGATGTGAAACCCAATTCTTAATAGTCAAAACCTTGTAGAATTTGCTCAGTTTCTCTTTCAGTGCAGCTTTGATTTGCATCCAAGAGTGTTGCCTTCTAGTTATTTTCATAATTTGTGTTATTTGATTCTCATTTCCGTATATCCAAATGAGGCTTATTTTATTTTATATTTATGAGTTTAACAGGCATTTCGATTTGCTCCTTCGAATAGTGATGGTATGGAGAAAAACCTAGTGGCGGTGCTCTATGTGAATCGCGCATCTGCATTGCATGTGAGTCCATAATTTAGCTTATCCCCACTAGCTTCACATATGGTTGACTGGTTTCTACTCCTTAATTTCGTTCCATTTTCTGCTACTCAAATAATTGTGGGGAAAACTCTTAACTAGATTGTTTTTTACGCAACCTGTTTCTACGGCAAAGTTCACCTCATGAATAGCTGTCTGTAAAACAATAGCTTACTCACACGCACACACACATCTACCTCAAAATCCTAATTCCAAAAGTCAATCATTTGTTTCCAAACATTACTAACATGACTTGCTTCTGTAATGGCTAGAATATGGGTCATTTTCTAGAGTGTTTAGACGACTGTGGCCGAGCTCTTGCAATTTCTCCAACTTATGCTAAGGTGGGTAGACTTTCACTTTTATCCTGTGACTCCTGTCTTGTTTTTCTTGGTTTGCATTGTAATTTAATTTTTATTTTGTTATCAAATACGGAGTAATCACTTATGTGCTGTATTTGTCATTTTCAGGAGAAAAGTAATAATCTTTATCTTCTCTTGTTCTTTGATCTTTTTGATACTTAAAATTTAGGACCCATTCGGTAATGGATATTTGGCTGAAATGGCTGAATGCACGATTTTTTAAGACAAGCCTTCAGTAAAATGATAAAATTGATTTAAGCTGAATAAGTAAACTAAAGGCTTCTTTTTCTACTTAAGTTATTGATTACAGAATAAGCAAATAATTCTACCAAACTTGGACTTTGCTGTACCCTAGACAGGTCTAACTACCCGGGCTAAGGCCCACCCCAAGCTCTACACAAAAAAATTATGTACAATTTGTGTTATACAAATTTATATAGTTAAAACCGTTTTTCTTCCCAAAAACAGTTTGCGCCAAATTTGATTTTTTGTCCTGTACTTATGCCCAAAAACCTAGGCAACAAGCTAGGTTAGGAAATTTGAATAATGTGCAACTGCAACTATTTCATTGGTGGTCTTGTCTTTCTGTTTTTTTAGTCAGTTCTGTTATAGTTTTAACTTCTACTTTGCAGGATCTTAATAGTTAACTTCATTTTAAATATATGCGGTTATTGCAACATGATATCTGCAGGCATGGTTCAGGAGATGTAAAGCAAATGCTTCTTTGGGAAACTATGAAGAAGCAATTCAAGATCTCAAGGTTTCCCTAGAGCTGGAAGTTTCCTTAAGTGGAAAGAGGCAAATAGAAAGCGAACTCGGGATTATTTTGGACAGACAAAAACTGATGCATAGTTCATTGTACAAGTCCAACAAGAATGGGTCTGATGCTAGGTACTTTACTTTTACTATGGTTTATCTGGTTACTATTATTATTAGGAGTTTTATCAATTCAGGACCCGAAAGATAGATGCATTATCAATCCGGGACCCGAAAGATGAAACGTATCATTATAGGACCTGAATGATAGAAAACTATCAATCTAGGACCTAACATTTCTTAGGTTTTGATTTATTTAATTTTTTATGAATTCCATTGCCAATTTTTGATAAACTTTTTTTCACAAAAGTTTATTAGTTCAATAAAACTAAATAATATTTAAAATTTTTAAAATGAAAAAATTAATAAATTTCATGACAACTTAGGTCCTAGATTGATAATTTTCAATCATTCAGGCCCTAAATTGATAGTTTTCCATCATTCGGGTCCTATATTGATACATTTCATCTTTCAAGTCCCGGATTAATAATTCATGAGAAAAGGGGCAAATAAGGCCACGTACTAACAAAAAAAGGTCAAATAAGGCCTTATTTAACAGGCTCTGTCCGGCCGTCCCCATTGGGGGTGGTTCCCGGAGGAATTTTTTGATGAAATTTTTTGAGCATCTTATTCAGTAAGTCTAGTTTACTTATACCAAATTTCAGCTAAAACTTCAATCGGGAAGGCATTCAAATGAATTCTTGAAGATAAATGTGCAGTTAAAAGCGCAATTATCTTCACGAATTCATTTGAATGCCTTCCCAATTGAATTGTTAGCTGAAATTTGGTATGAGTAAACTAGATTTAATGAATAAGATGCTCAAAAAATTTCATCAAAAAATTTCACCAAGAACCACCCCAAATGGTGAAGACCGGACAGATCCTCATAAATAAGGCCTTATTTGACCTTTTTTGGTTAGTACATGGCCTTATTTGCCCCATAATTCATCTATCTTTCGGGTCCTGAATTGATAAAATTCCTTATTATTATTACATCTATTATTATGATTTCTGTTCAATTTCTAGAAAATGAAACAAATAGATATCCTAGACTCTCAACCGAACATGAAACATCAGAATGATTTGTAAAAAAATATTTTATCTCTAAGGACTCCTGAAAACATTTTTTTCGTCTTTTTGATTTGCGCATTCTTTGGTTGGACATATTTCTATTTCTATAATCTGTGACATGCCTCTCTTATTTGGTGTCTTATAATTGTAGAACTTATGTGACAGATGAGCCAATCCAAGGAAATGTTCAATGTGTGTCTCTATCAACTAAAGGAAGAGGAATAGTATCTTGTGCTAATATTCATTTGGGCACTTTGGTTCATAAAGAAGATCCTTATGCAGCGGTATTAGTCAAGATTCTTTTATTTGTGCTGTCCTAAGCTCCATTTGCTTATGGAAAAGTATTTTTATGGAAAGTGACTCCCCGTTTTGAAAATGGGAAGTTGTTGTTTAGAAACAGCTCTATGAATGACATTTCTGTGGGTCGAACATTATATATATATATAACATCTTGGGAGTGTCCTGATCCTTTAAAGTGCTAGGGAAAGAAAACAAAATGTTTAGAAAAGTCTAAACAAAATTATCTTGAAAAATGCAAAACAAAATTAAATATGATCAGTTCTTTCAAAATTACACCAGTCACCAGTACGCATTTTTAGAGTACTCAATGTTTACATTATAGTTATAAATAAATAAAAGCTTTAGCTGGTTTTTTATTTTCGTCCACACTTTCTTTCCTCCCAATTTTTCTCTATGTCTTCCTTCCCATACTCTTCCCCTAATAATATCTGAGTTCCAAATGGATGCCTTATTTATAGGAAAACATTTTTTGACAAGTTATTTTTCTAAAATCAAACGGAGCCTTAGTATATCTGCAGTGCTTCATTGTCAACATCATATATCACGTTATATGTTCACATTCATTCTTAATCATTCTACAACCATTAATGTAGATTATCTTGAAGACCTGCCGGGAGACTAACTGTCATTTCTGCTTCAATGAACTACCAGTACATGCAGTTCCATGTGAATCATGCTCTATACCATTATATTGCTCTAGTCAATGCCAATTAGTATCTGGAGGAAAAGTGTTTGGTAAAATTCCCAGGAAAAGTGGCTTTCATAAAGACCTACCGGATGAAATTGAAAAGTATATTTCTGAATGCATTTCCGTTGGTAATTCAGATCAATGTACTGAGAATATTCCTGAGCACAGACATGAATGTGAAGGTGCTCATTGGCCTTCAATATTACCCTCAGATGTAGTTTTGGCTGGTCGGATCATTGTGAAATTTATCGAGCAACAAAAGAATTCTGGTTGTGTTTCAAACCTCCAAGCAGTTTTGGTACTCGTACACGTTCATTTGCTTAATTTTCAAAGGCCGTGTTAAGAAACAGAAATCTTTAAGGGAAGGAAAAATATTAGGAAAAATATTAAAAGGAAATGGATTTTCGATGTTTTGTTTAGCATTCGAAAATACAAATAACAAATAGGTAGTCGGAATATGGCAGACATAAATACAATAGTGTGAACCAACAGCTAAACTAATTATGTAACTTGTGTAGGATCTCTGCCACAACTATGCGCACCTCCCTCCTGATACTAAACTGGAGATGCATATATACTCGATCATGCTGTTGAATTGTCTTCAAAAAAATTATGCACCAAAACTCCCTGTGACAGGGGCTATCATTTCACAGGTAGTATCATAGAAAGCAATCTAACAAAATTCCAAAAGTGTCGCTGATACTTTGAAATGAATGTTACATATTTCATAAACTTCTTGCAGGTAGTTATACTTCTATCACAAATCAGAGTGAATGCAATGGCTATTGTCAGAATGAAATCTTTTGATAAGAGAGGGCCTTCAGATGAGCATGGGAATGATTTTACCAGTACATTAGAACAGGTTGATGTCAAGCTTGTCTTGGCTTTAAATCTTTATTGTATCTCTTAGGGTTTGCTTCGATACCAAAAATGCTGCTCGGTAAAGGAAAGCAACTGCTATGGAAAGTTATTTTATTGTGTTTGGTTTACCAAAAAAAACATATGATTAATTCTTTTCAGGTTCTGTACATAGATTAAACTTTCATAGTTGTTGTAAATAAATTGAGTTCCAGCAAATATGAAAATTAAATTTATTGAGTATGAAGTAATGCTTTATCCCCCCCACACATTTTTCTTACTTTCCATGGTTTCCTTATATTTTCCTCTCTATTGCTTTCTCTAGCATTTTTCTAGCTCCAAATGGACCCTTATCAAGCAATCTCCAAAAACCTAGCATCATGTAGTTACACCCTTACAAAACCCAATTTTTTAAAAGAATTAACTAGAACAGTATATTACATATTGCATTGCTATCTTGTCTTTATTTGTTATGCAGGTCAAGGTTGGTCAAGCTATATATTTGCTGGGTAGTATGTTTAACCATTCGTGTAGACCAAACAGTCATGCTTACTTTCTTTCACGCACCCTCCATGTACGAATCACAGATTCTGTGTCAGTGGGGTCTGAACTTGAAATCTCTTATGGACCACAGGTACACTTTGTTTTTTGTAGGTAATGTTGACTTTTGACTTGTTTTTACTTTTTAAGTCTCTTACAAAAATATTTTACCAGAAAATGTTTTCTGGTTTTCCTTTGTTTGGCACTTGAAAACATTTTTTTAGAATGATTTTCATGTGTTCGGCACTTGAAGTATTTGATGGAAAATATTTAATTGGCTTCTCAGAGCAGTCTGGAACTTAAAAAATCGTATCTTTTTTCAGGATGATTTCGTAGCATTTTTTCCATTTCCCTGCCATTTCCGCATTCCAAACATAGCCTAAGATTTCTGTATGAAATGATTTACCATTCCAAATTAACGGATGCTAAATATTTGAGGTTGCTCAAAATTACTATCAGTTACTCATCTACAAATTTATTAGAAGTATGCATACCTATAGGTATTAATCTTTTTTTAGCTCAATTACCCAATAGGCTAATACTGAGTGAGTAATGCGGTAATACCCCCACCTCATAGGCAATTGATGACTAGGAATTAGACTTCTCAGTTTAATTATTTCTTGAGTAGTTGAGTGGTTCAAAACTTCTAGAAAAAGACTACACAAAGTGCCCCGATTTTCTAGTTTAATGATATGTTGCCAAATGTGCTGCTTTGCAGGTCGGGCAGTGGGACCACAAAGACCGCCAGAAGATATTGAGAGACAACTACTCATTTAGCTGTCAATGTAGTGGCTGTTCACAACTAAATCTATCTGATCTATATATTAATGCTTACAAGTGTGCTAAACCAGACTGTGATGGTGCGGTTCTTGACAGCACACTCACTAGCTATGTGAAACAAAAAGTGGACCCCATCTTTGGCGACCCGGCCATTCCCTACACTCAGAAGCAGGTATTTTGCATACGGCAGAATTATTAGGATTTTTAGGAGGATAAATATCTGAGTAGAGGCTATTCATTTTTGGGTCCCATGAGCATTAGGTCCTACACTTTTGGTCTCCGCTTATCAGTGTTTCCACCACTGATGCATTGACTATGGATTTCTTGGCACTGTGGTCCTTACGATCACTCACCTGGCCAATTTTAGTAGAAATTTTTGTTGACTTTTGCTGGATAAATGGTCCGGAAAGACCGAAGTTGGCAATAAATTTATAGTTGCCGCTGTTTTGCTAAAAAAGTTGGGGCCTACAAGTAGGAATGACCTAATCATCGTGAGACCAAAAGAAGGAAATTTTCTATATTGTATTACCGGGAGACTCTGGGAGGTCATTGGTGATTGGCAAATAATCCAAGCCTCAATTCCAGTCCATTGCACTCTGCAGTGATGGTGGTAACTACTGCCTACAGTGTACATTGCTCATATTCAGTGTCTTGTTCATCTTTTTCTTGCCTTGCCCTTGCTCATCATCATCATCATTACCCCAGTGCCACAAAGTCTCCCTCCTACGGTGGGGTTAGGGGGGTCGAATGTACGAAGCCTTACCCATGTACTAAAGCACAAAGAGACTGTTTCCGGAATCCGGATGACTCAGGGTGAAAATAGCGTCGAGGATTGCATTTGCTATTTCATATAATATATTTATAATGGCTATTCCTTTGCCTGTACTTTTGACAGAAGGTTGAAAATACTGGAAATAATGGAATCGTTGGACTGGCTCATTATGTGGTCGATAAACAAGATTTTAATTATCTAAATCCTGGGCATTGCTTGAATTGTGGTTCATATTGTGATCTAGAATCTGCCTCTGCTGCAATCAGCAAAGCTGAGAATTGTATTAGAAGGTACATGGCAGATTTATTCATTAATCTCTCCAATCACAAAAAAAAACATTTATAGTCCCACTGCTGTTCGGTTTTTACCACTATTGCTCCCACAGTTTCATATTTTTCACTTTTGGTGCATGAGAATGGATCTCTGCTCACTTTTGGTTCTTTTTGGTCATGTAGCCAACAAATATGAAATTTGGTTAGATTAGTGACCAAAAGTGGCAAGAAAATCATAGTTGTTCACCAAAAGAGGAAAAATTTAAAGTTGGAGACAAAATGTAGAATACAAACACAATTACCCAAGCGCGCACCTGTGATAATCTTAGAAGCATGTGTGCCATTTGTATATAGGTTGCAAGATGCAATAAGTATCAATGATATCCAAGCTGAATCACTTTCCAATGCCTTGATGGTTTCTAATATTCTGAGATCAACACTGCATCCATGTAACAAGAGAATATCTGAGGTGAATGACTCTTGCCTTCCATAGTTATTGCAATTTTGAAGCAAAGTTGATTTTGTAATAACACGTTTTGAGTATCGTAAGTCTTCACCCTAAGTTTACAAGTTTCAGGTTGAGGACAATATTGCACAGGCGATGTGTTTGGTTGGAGAACCGCAAGCTGCAATTGATCATTGTAAACTGTCCATCAAAGTACATATCTCTTAAAACACATCTCCGCACTGGGAAAACTTTGTGTTGTCAAGTCATCTCACGTTAGATACATATCTTAAAATAAAAAACTATTCCTAACATATAAATACTTTGAATTATTCTTTTATTATGTGTACCCTTTTAATGAAACAATAAGTATGAATATCGTAATAGAGCAGGTAAAGCTAAAACTAGTCATTCGATATTGTCAAGATGAAAAACAAAGCACAAGGACTTCTAGATTACTATATTCCATGATATCAGACTTGTATGGGGCTTCTTGTTATCAATGTATTAACTGAATATAAATAGGTTTATCATCCACCACACTAAACCCCATTTTGGAACTTTTCTCTCATCAGAATTTGAATGCTAAATGCAGATCCTTGAGAAACTCTATGGTTCTAATCACATTGTCATCGGAAACGAATTGGTTAAACTCCGATCCATTCAAATGCAACTCAGAGACTGCAATGCTGAAATTACTACAAAGAGAGCACATGAAATCTTTTTGCGGTATTTTGGATCTCATACAGGCGTGATATTTCCATGTGGAATTGGTTGCACCTGATTGTAAAGTTTAACATTTTATATCAGTACTCACTGTTACTATTAATAATGCGATTTTTTTTTTTTTGCAAATACCATTAATGAATTACAGTACTGCATGTGCTATGGATTGGATCTAGATTTCTTAGTCAAAAATCTAATTGAATCCACAAGAAATTGAATACTAATAATGTATGGTTGAATAACCAATAATATGGAAGTATTTGATCCATATTGGAAGATTCAGGCTATTGCCCCTTAACCTTTAATAGTGGAATCACAAATCTTTTTTAAAAGTAAACTGTTGTATGGGTATGTATTCTTTGTATAATTACATAAGTGTGCAGTTTAGTCTTTTAAATTGTGGGAATTACTGTATATTTGAAGCATCTCTCTTCCCTATAAAGGTCATGTTGTTGCATACTTGCATATGCAACTTTTAAGTTTGAACATACATATGGAGCATTTCTAAAAGAGCTAAAATCAATCAATCATCATTTACCCCAGTGCCGCAAAGGCTCCCACCTACGGTGGGGTAGGGGGGGGGGGTCGGATGTACGCAGTCTTACCCCTGTACTAAAGCACAAAGAGACTGTTTCCGGATGACCCATAATGAAAATTGAGTCCAAAATTGCATGGATTCAATGCTGCTTCATAACAAAGAAGAGCAGACAGTTTGGTGAGTCATTTTGCTTTATTCCATCATATTCTCAAGCCAAAAAATAATGAATCTTTGGTTCCATTGAAAATAATGGAAAGCTAAAAGAGCTATAAAAACAAAATTAAAACATAGAGGTAGAAGTATTGTATTCTTTTGTTTCAACCTGTTGATCCATTACAATCTATTTCATTACCTTATTTTTTTCATTGCTCACAAATTCGTTTAGCAAAGCTAAACAGATTAATGGTAATTAGAGACAATTTTAACTGATAAGCTAAATAAAATTGCCAAAGGCAGGCACTTAAAAGCCTTAACCTTGAATAGTGATATGGTTTTTTATAATCATGCAAAAGCTGAAGATACAACAATGTATAAATTCCATGAGAATATGCACATTATCGGTGGGTTTGAGCAACTGAAGTTCTGTAGGCTTTGAGTTGTTGGAATTCATCATATTCAACTTTGAATGAGATATGTGAAACTGTGGCATTAGTTGTTGGAGTTACATTAACTATTGTTTGAGGCTCCCATGTAAATGCCAGTAATATTCCATCACAGGGTATGCTGCATTTCTGCCATGACTTCGTCCTCTGCTTACTATAAGAACTTTAGCCACTACCTCGGTCACAACGAGATTGAAAACTGAGAAGAAGAGAAGAGTGATTAACTCATTTAAAAACTTATATTTGACTACAAATATGTTCCATATCGTGTTCCATATGTATGTTCCTAAAAGGTTAATAGATAAGAGAAGTAGCTTGGAACTTTATAGTGTTTCATTATTTTTATATAATCTGATGTGGGGCAAATGTTCCGATAGTAAGAGTATTAAACTCACTCATTAATCACTAAATCCCCAAAAATGTTTTCATTGGAATCCACAATTTGTTAAGATTCAACATTACATCCATGAGAGTGAAATCTTATTGTAATGGTACTTAACGAGAATCCATACCAAAACATTTGTTTCAAATGATAGGAACATGGAGACAACTTTTGGTGATGGACTTTGCCTTTACACGGTGCATAGTTGGGCATCAACTCTCGTTAGATAATTAATTGAATATTATCAACTTTTGTAGTTAGATATTATCCTCTACTCCATGTCTCCACGACTTAGAGATTTTATGACCTTAGTTTAGACTTTAGAGATAACTAAGAGCCCGCTTGGTGAGACATGCTTTTTGCTTATCAATCAATTTTTCACTAATCACAAAACTTTTGATTTTGAACACTGAATTATGTAATATTAAAAATAAGTTAGGTTAGACTTACTTTTATGCAGAAGGTGATTTTAGCTATTTCATATAAATTTTTCGTTTATCTTATAAATAAAAATAATTTAATTTTTTTTAATAATTCAGCAGATTCAGACAATTCAACCGCTTTAGTCAGAATTTCATCAATTTCAATAAATTTTAGTGATCTGAGTTGAGCACCTGCCGCGCCATCTCAACATCTCTTATGATTTGTGTGACGTGGGAAAAACAAGAAAAACAATTATGATATTGTTCAATAGTGTCAGATTTGAAATCATGTTGGGGATGACCTCGCTCTTGAGAGTTGACACCATATTGAATAATGAAACAGTTTTTCTATTATCTTGCATAACATGAGTATACATCAATGTACAAATATTTAGGAGAATAGGCAGATGGAGTAATAGTTTTAGTAAGTATGACTAATTCAAACTTAAATTCACCAAAAGCATTATAGTTCATTCACCATTTACATCCAGACAGGCTCCAAAAGGTCAGGCTGCTTAGCATTAAATTGCAAACTTATTGTACAGGATATAAAGAAACGATCAGGCTGCATAAAATTACATATTCAACATTGGTTTTTATCTTACAAAAAATACCTTGGTTTCTATTGATGAATAAAATGGATGAATCTTCAAGCAAAAACAGTAAGATCTATGAAGTGCATATGAACAAGATATGCTACAGCATGTACTCCACCACCTCTCTTTGGACGTGGCCGAAGCTAAAGTTACACTGATTATGAGAGACGATAAGATTAGGACCACTGTGTGTTATAGATGCTTAGATTCGCCATGCTTGCTCCCCTTGAATGCTGAAAGAGGGAAAAACGATCTCGATGCTGAAATGAAAGGCATTCATACTATTAAAGATGACAAAAAACATATGCCTACTACTGCTAGAGATTTGCATAGACTTGCTGCGTAAAAATGTTGGATATTAGAGTGACATTAAAAAAAAAGCTCCAATGTGTGTTTTGTCCTTGCAAATATACCGTTCAAGCTATTTTTGTTTTAGTCCATCTTTGTTTACAAAAATAATAAGCATTTCTATGAAGAAAAGGACTACAAAGAAAGAAAGAAGGAAAGAAAAAGGCAAATCATTATCATTCTAACCTTATTTCCAAAAATTGGTGTCAGCTAACCTGAATCGATCCATCATATCACTATATCGATCTATGAATATCACTATCACTTATTCCCTCACCATCAGTCTTACTCTTCCTTGCAAACTTAAGGAGTCTCTTGAACCCTTTCGGCGCTTCCTTCTGATACACCATGTCAGAGGCGGAGCTAGGGGATGGCCAACCCTGGCCCAGCCCAAATTTTAAAAATGTCTAATTTTTTAGTGTAAACAAATTCCGTGTAATTTTTTTTCCAAAAATATTCTTTGTATCGGCCCAGTCTGGCCCGGGCCCCTGCACCATGTTTGGCGGGTTCTCTGCATTCCCCCACTCCACAATCTCAGATTCACTGCTTTCCTCCATCAGCATTTGAGAGAGAGAATGGCGTACTCGTGGTGGACTGCCAGCACTCAAGGGCCCCACGTTAACTTTTGAAGAGTTTCCACTGTCAACCTCTTCTATTTCCACCCAGGCTGTTGGGGATATATTGATCACATGTTCTTCAATCAGATTTTCCTCTAGATTCTCAGAAAAATCATTTTCTTTTTCCAGGGTAAGTATGTCAGAAAATTAGTAGTGAATTGCTATGACCAAACGGTGTATATGGGTATTTTAAGTGTTTAGTACAATTAAATGTAGAGCTGCGGATTGCATAGAATGACATAAAGGGCATCCTTTATATTGATTATAGAATATAGATAGAGAGGTGCTATTTTGTAAATGAGCTTACTTTAAGCTATAGGGAAATATTTATAATGATATCTCCTCAAGTAAGAGCTTATTTTAAGTTATCATCTTATATACCAACCAGGACTGAATTATATATGGAGATTAAAATTAGCTATATGCTCCAAAATAAGCTTTACCAAATGCACACTTACATGTTTACCTTTCCAGAGGAGACATTGGCTTTTGCCCTTGTCTTTGTGTCCGTGTCCACTTGCTTCTTAGCAATTCCACCTAGTTATAGTTTGTCAACATCATTTGGGATTATTCAGATCAAATTCCTTGTCTGAGTTTAATGATGTCTAATACTCCATCTCTGAATACAAATTTTATGTTTTTTCTTTCTACATGTACAAAAGAAAAGACAATTTATTCAGAGATAGAGGGGTTACTAACTTACTATATTAAGAACTCAGGTTCCATCCTAAAAAATCTAGGAAGGATAATTCAATGCCTTGGTTTCTATTCGGGTGGTTGTAACTTGTAAGTTGCCTGGCTTTTGTTATTTTAAACTAAAACACAGATTTTTTACACTATAATTTCAACACTTAGGTACCTAACATCAATTGGTCTTCAAAATTTAAGCAATCCCACCACCAACCTGAAATAGTTTCTTGATAAAAAGGAAGCTTAACTATAGACGTCATGTCATCACATATGCATATTGTTATTCTACTCGAATTTCAAATAAATAAATAAATAAGTACTCTACTTTTTCAAATACAAATTATTGCATACTTCGTAGTAGTGCATAAGATTTCAAAATGAAATACATTCCAATCAAACATTACACTATGAAATATCACAAAGACTGCATACACAACCAATAAATGGAAAGGCTTGATATATGGGAAGTTTCCGTGCTCTTAATTGCAACGTTTCATGAACTGCAAAGTTCGGCTATGATTAAACGTACAACCAATCACCCGTTGTGAGTTACCCAGGCAGAGCTGCATGATAAAACCCGGCCTTTCCACCCCTGCAGCACCCAGTGGCCGTCTTCAGCAAACAAAAAGTCTTTGTGATATGCTTCCCGCGCCTTGTCTCTTAACTTCTTCACGAGTTCAGAATTTGGGGGCAGAGGCTTGAACCCAGCCCTCAAAGTGCGACTTTGCCACTGCTTGTATGTTTCAGGTCTTTCAAACCTTTCCTTGCCCTCACATGCTACGATATTTTTTATGACGGGTCCCATAATTGCTTGTTCAGAATGTAACCTTAAACAATCATGGCGTGGGAAAATAGCGTCAAACATATCAAAGATACCAGAGTAGTAGAAGAGAGCAGATTGGAACCGATTGAGAAAGAAAGGAGAGTTGTGACATACACTAATCGTTGTATGCACAAAAATATGAGGGTTTAATTCCCGAATTAAGTTTAAAACATCATCCCTGGGGCTATCCTCACCAGATGTTGTCAAATCTAGTAGATCTTTGAATCGATCATTACAGTTAACAGCAACCACCTCTCCTCGTGCGAGCTTAAAGCCATCCATCTTAAGTGCCTCCCAATTCTTCGCAGTTATGGCATTGTATTCGAACGGTACATTAAAGCGCTTGCAATATCTAGCCAAGCGACAACCAGTGTCCACTACTGTTTGAGATGGACGAAAACCAGGTTGGGGAAGCTCAATCCCAGTTATTCGAAGTTTTGGAGGACCACCGTGTCTTTGTGAAAGATCTCGAATAAGAGTTGGCCACTGAATACCATGAAGAATGCCAAAATCTATAATGTGCAGTGATGTGGCTTTCGATGCTACTTCGTAAATCATTTTATTCGCAAAGAAGACAAATAACCTCAGAAATGGCAAAGATGATGACAAGTGGGATTTCATTAATTCGGAAGCATAACTTGAAACACAATTCATCTTGCGAAGTGATATTGAAGCCAAAAGTTGCGACTCAGCTCCAGCCAGCCGTGCCTCAAGACCTTCAGCAAAAGCATGCGCCACCCTTTGATTTGCGTCACCGGTAGGAGAAGAGTAACGTCTGATTTCCTTTAGTTTTTCTGCAGCACTCTTGTAATTAGCAGCAGAAACAAATTTTGCACAGCTGATCAAAAGAAATTGGATGTCAACAATTTCACAACCATTTCCTCCTTGTTTACTTGGGCGGCCCTTGCGCCCGTTTTGGCCTTTCTGTGGTTGTTTTCTGACTGCAGATGGACAATCATCATCATCATCATCATTATCACACAGCAAAACCTTGTCAAACACCTCTAACAAGTCATCCTCCTCCTTATAAACTGCACTCTGCTTCCTACTCCTTTGCTCTTCTGTTTCTTCTTCTAGCCCACTTTCACCTGCACGGAAGTGCTTCCTTCCTCTACATGAATCATCTGAATGGTCATTCGTTTCACTCACAGCACTACCACTGTTCAATTCCTTGATCTCTAGGTTCAATGAGTATTTATCGTCGAAATGGATGACCATTGGATTATTGGCAGGAAAGAATCTTCTACCTTCCTCCACACCTCTCTTGAATTGGTATATGGAGGCAGCCACATTATCAAAATATAAATTTGGATTCAAATCAGCACTATCAAAGCTGTATAAAGAGCCATTTATCCCATGCAAGTTAGTCTTACTTGATGAAGAAGACTGAATGGAGAGACGGGGAGGATCACTTGTGACTTCTTGATCAGAATTATAGATATCAATATGAGAACTAGAGGTCCCAACTGAGATGTCTTTTGGGCTTACAACATTGTTGTCAAAGGAGACGTTCTCGCCCAAGGCTTCATAAAAGTAATCCTCAGCAGCTCTTAGCGCAACAGGATCAGGGCACAACAAGTCATCATTATTCTCGTCCAATAGTATGTTGTTAAGATAGTTGATCACGCGAGCCGAGTCTGTTGAAAGAGTGTGGTTAGGACGTTGTTGTGTAATGGATGAAAGGACATCCTCGCTCTCATTCTCCAACCCGAGTCTCTTTATATAGAAGCAGGCAGGCAACCTCCCAAGCTCATGATCCATAAGTGTCTATGACAAGTTAGAAACCTGTTCCAACAATGTATGGAATAAACATGGTAAGCAGACAAATAAACAATGAAAACCATTCAAGCAAAATGAGCGGAGTACTTGGTATGTAACTATGTAAGGAGGTGAGGGAGAAACAAATCTCTGTATTGTCTACTCAATGAATTACATCTTCTTCTTGTTCCTTTTATCATTCCCTCGTCTTTTAAACACTATAAAGTCAAAATGGATTTAAAAAACAACAAATTGAGTAGTAGAGGAGGGCTAGAACTGACACATTAATTAAACCCCAAAAAAATAATTTAAACCTCAATTCCTAAATTTATTAATTGCTAAGGGACATGCAGTAAGAGAGCAACTGATGGAAAAGGAAAAATGGGAGCTCCGAACACTGCTAAAACAAAGCAGCTAGCGTATGATATTCAATGCACATATATGAATAGAAATCTATATCTATATATTATTATTATTATTATAATATATACTTCGTATACATGCAATTAAGCGTTACATTGGTTAAATAATATTGACACATGTCATTCAATAACTCATTTATGGCCACATGTCATTCTATTACTCATTTATATATGGCCCCATGTCACTATAGTAGTTATTATTCATTTATACGGTACGGTGTAATATAATAAATCACCTTAATTACAATTGTTTTCATTTTTTCATTTATTTATTGATAATACAATACTATTCAATATAATTGTTAATATACAATCACAATAGTTAAATATAAATACATCAGGTTGTCTTCAAAAGTTTACAATTTGTCTTTTAATTTATCGAGTGGTTTAAAAAATTACTATTTACCTATTGTTTTCTCAATAATATGTTCAATTCAATTATTCAAACAATGACATTATCAAAGAGAGGAACAATAAAGGGGAAATAATTTTACCAACTATCACCTATAAACCAAGAATAATACATATTTTGAAAAATAATATTTAATAATATCAATTGTTTGAATTTACAATAAACATGATACATAGCTATTTTCCACTAGAAATTTAGTCATTTAACTCATTAAGAACTAATATCAAAATATCAAGTACGTGACATCATTTCAAAATAACCATTTTTTGATAGTTCACTATTGATTTGTGATATCTTGTGATTCAATTTCTAATCGGAAAGTGGGTTCATATTTTTTTTATCATATATTCAAATAATTTTTATTATTAAAATTAATTTTAAAGTTATTGATTTACAGGTGAAGCGTTGGTATTTTTTAAAGTTAATTTCTTATCAATTAAAAGAGTAAAATTATCTCAAAAATAATATAATGTTAATTAAATAATATATGTATTATTTATTTGTGATTATTTTCAGATTATTATATCTCTGAACACTTCTCTAATCCTCTCCGATCCCCAACTTACACCTATATGAAATTGTGCCTCTACTTATTATATTTAGTCTGGTTTGAAGCTAAATACAATTCAATTTTAAACATTCTTAACAGAGATTGATATAAGTATCATTTAACAGACATCACAAAAAATGGATCCCAAATTCAAATAAACAAACCTAATAGTACTTACATAAAGAGTTTATAAATAAAAAATACTCTATAATGGTGAAGAAGTTTAAAACAATGGTTCTAACAATAAAGTAAATTATTGTTTAACGTTATTAATATTGTGTATTACGCTGTGTGTACTCATTTACGTAAAACTATTAATAAGTTAATATAGTTTTCGTAGAACCTCTAATGATAAGACTAGTGAAGTTCAAATTTCAATAAACCTTTTTATTAAAAATATAGTACTATATATACACACACTAGTATCATTACCTGTGTCGTGCACAAGATAAAATAGAATTGTCATGTTTTTATTTTAAAAATATGAGTAAGTATTGTCATATTTTAAAAAATACTGTCATTTTTAAAGTCTGGTACTACCAAAACATGACAATAGTTAATCCTATTTTGGAATTAAAAATATGATGATCCTATTTTGGAATATATAAACTTTTTAGCCTTACTTAGTGTAATCTCCCTTTTATTTTAATTATACTATATGTGTGTGTGCGTGCACCCGTATTGCCGTATATGCATGAGTTATTAGAGCTAACGGAAAATCAATTCTTTAGTCAATTATAACATTGATTGATAATGTATATTCTTATTTGGTAAGTATGTCTTATTTTTTAACTAATTATGTAAACACGTTTTCGACCTGTATTATCCAATCAGAGCCAATTGTTTTATAACTCTTTTTGCATCTAAATAAACGTCGTCTTCTCAACCATCTTTAATTTATCTAAACAAAAAATTGCTCAAAGCCTATTTTTATCCATTCGATTTCATCTGTAGCTTACTATTTTTACAAAACTATAATAACTATACTTTTTTAATTTATTTATTTAATAATGAGTGTGGCCACTCTTGAAATTGAGCAAATTTGTCCTTCTATCTCCTTTAATAAAGGAGTCCAGAATATTCTTTTTTTGTAATATTCCGATTTTAATGAAAGTAATGACGACGATAACAGGCCAGCTGCATAACACAATTAATAGTGTTTGATTTATTTTTTATTAGATTGATTTAAAATAGGTGTTGAACGAAGAAAAAACTAAGGTAGCAAATGATTTAAAGTCTTAGTAGGCAATTTTTACCTAGAAGGTCAACTGAATTAAATCTATCAAAAGATTGCCACATCAAGTGGTACGTAATAACCGAAACATAAATAGGTAAAATTACGCAACAAAAAATAAAGATGCCCCATATTATAAAATTAGAAGTGATCTCAATTTTATAACCAAATCGTACTATATTAAAGTTAGAGTAAAAGAATTATCCTTTATACACAACCTAACTTATTTATCTAACTATTAAACACCACTTTTAGTATCATGATATGATTAATATGTATGTAATTAATAAAGTTCTAAGAGATATGAAACTCTCAGTAAAAATATATTAAGATTTATGTTAATATTTAATATATACACTAACGAAAAATAACTTTTACTTTTATAGATCAGATCAAAATATTGATTCCAATTCAAAATATCCTTAATTAGAAAGGTGAACACAAATTTGAGATAGCATTAAGACAAATGTGTATTTAGCAAAATTTAACACATGCAGTCTTATTTTTAACCTGGGTAAAAGATGTTTAATTTTTTTAATTTCATTATACTATGTAGAATGTAAGAAAATTATTTAACGGTGTCACTTCATGACATCTAAAGAGAAAGGGTGACTGGGAAAAAGTTGATGATATCTAATTCAATAGTCATAGGACTGGTACTTGTGTTAAAAATACTACATAACATTTTTGGACATCAACGGTGATATGAGACAGTCAATTTTATTAATGTCATATTTTCTGCTTCAACCAAAAAAATGATGAAGTAAAAAAATGAATATGTGGATATGAGCTACTTCAAAAAACACACAAATAAAGTATTAAAAAAAATCTTAACCACAACCTAAATGACATTATTTAATTGTTAAAATCAACCATCAAATAAATGCTAGTTTTGAGAATGATGGATTACTCACTAAAAATCTAGCATTACTATAGGCTCCTCGAAAACCTTATCCGATAGATTGCAATTTGATTTGAAGCACATTTTAATGATGATTTAATAATCAAATACTAAAAATAATTCATCCTGAACACCACAATTATATTTAATGGCCTAATTTGTTTATATGCTCATCAAAACTATTTCTCAAAATATACTTGAATTATCGGTTAAGAAAGATAAGGACTAATATCTTCAAAAAGTTGACTACACCCATTTGTTTATAAATAAATTACAAAAGTGTGTAGTTAGTTTTTGAAGAAAACAATAAGTCACGAATGATATTTAATGGGTAAGAACATGCAATGAGCATTTTCTTGACTATACCCATTTTTAGGCAAATAAATTACAAAAGTGTGTAGTTAGTTTTCAAAAAACTATAAGTTGGATGAAATTTAATTGATAAAAATAGGCATTGAGCATTTTTATTGTTTAGGTAAAGATAGTTGAAAATATCAATTTCATTTGGCTACAATTGGGAGTTATGAAAACGGAAGAATTTGACTTTGCAACTCACTCTTTGAGTGATATTGAACTTTTTGGGGAGATGAGTTTTAAAAGTGGGGAGAAGAATTCATATGGAATAATGAGAAAGGTATAACTTTGGATTTAGAGAAACTGTGTGTAATAAGAGTAGTGAAGGTGTGTTAATTTGTGTTTGAGTAATTTCTATAAGTAGGAATCTAGTGAAAGTGTTTTTGAGTACAATTGCGTTTATGGAAAGTGTGTCTCCAGTACTTTCAATTCACATGTCTACTCGATTGTTATTTGCATTAATAAATAACAATCAAAGTTAATGACTTTAATAGACTTGAAGTCATTAAAAATTACTCCCTGTGTACTTTAATAATTTCCAACATGGGGAATAATTATGTAAAAAGTTAAAAACTGTGTAGTTGAGATTTGTGAAGAAGAGAAAGAAATAATAAGAACCATAAATTAATTGAATAAAATAAAACTAACAAAACTCAGGGATAAAAAAAATCACTTGCTTAAAAATAGTACATTACACTAACCTTTACCAAATCCACAATATCTTCATTTTGAGGCAATGAGGTGTCATTGCACCAGCCTAAATCGGCTATTGAATGCGGTAAATAATATGAGTAGACTTAAGATTATTATTATTCTTATTATTAGACTTTGAAAGCTTCTACTTCCTCCTTCTCAACTAAAGGTTCTCAATTTCATTTTATCATAATTAAGGTTTTCATTTTATTTTAGGAATTAATTAGCACTTTTTAATGATAATTTAATCATCAAATATTATACAGAGTAAATAATACGTAGTACATCTTTAACATCACAACTATATTCAATGGCCCTATTATATTACGATAGCATATAATCATCAAAACTATTTCTCAACGCCACACTCTCACTAGTTGAAACATGAAACTATGGCCCTAAACTATCACTAGTTGAAAAAATTGAACTTGCGGCAGTTTTTAGGGCCTATGCGCGACGGTTTTAACCGCCACAAACGACCCTGCGATGCGGTGCACGGGTACCACACACTACTACACTAGTATAAAATACAGAGTATAAGAGAGAAAAATGAATGAACTCCGATCGAGTTAAATGACGATACATTATCAACCAACATAAAATTAAGCATCGATCAAATTAAGCAATAGAACAACGTACCAGCGAATGAACTATGAGCTCTACGCTACGTGCATTAAAATTTGCAAGCAAGCAACTAAGCACAAACTCGGTGCATGATTTTCTCAGAAATGCGAAATATATATACTCCGTATGTATAGAAGCAAAAGAAATGCAGTTAGAATACGGAGTAATTTCGGAATTATTGGTACTTCATTTGTTGGAGTGTGAAGTTTCTCTGGATACCCACGTGACAGTCGGACGATCATGTCCCAAGTATAAATGAAAATTGTACACTACTTATAAAAAATACGGTCTAGTGTTCTTAAGACGAGTACGGACTACCGACCCAAAAAATATATATTTTCTCTATTAGCTATCTCCAACAGTTTAAACCATTTTTTACACTAAAATGGTGTAAACATCACATCAAACAGTATTTTATCTCCAACAGTTTACACCATTTTCATCACCAAATAGGAATATTCTCTTTTTATTCTTTTTATTAACCTTTTACCATTCTTGTATTTAAGTATCTAATTATCATATATTTATACATTAGCCCCTCATTTAATATTTTGACATTTCACACATTATTTCACACATACAAACTAAAATACACCATTTTAATATGTATTTTCACGCATTTCACTAATTAAAATACAATAATCAATATTTCACAAATACAAGATAAAACCACATAAAATTAAATATTACAATAATATTATAATAATTTGTACGTCATTCATAAAGTACTACTTAAACTCAAAGCAATAGATTAAATAAGGGATATTTTGACTTTGCACCCCCCTTTTTTGGGTGATATTGGACTTTGCATCCCATTTTCAAAACTTTTAGACTTTGCACCCTGTTTCCCCTAAAATGTCTTTTCCTTTGCACTCCATTTAAGAATTTTTCTTCACAAAATGTTGTAGATAGGGTGCAAAGTCTAAAAGTTTTGAAAATGGGGTGCAAAGTCCAATATCACCCAAAAAGTGGGGTGCAAATTCAAAATTCCCCATTAAATAAATATTCTTAGTTTAGTTATCGGAATTTGAGAATTGTCAGACCGGATTAGACCACACTTGGGTAGTTATAAAAATACAAAGAAATCAGATTAGACCACATCGGTTCAGACCAGACCAGACCAAATCAGATCAGACCAGAGCGGACAAACAAATTTCAGTCCAAGTAAAACATCCTAATTTGTTGTTTTAAAAATGGGTCAAAACTATAACAATCAAAACTTTGGGTCACATTTGAAAGAATGAAAAATTACAAAAAGTAGATGGTGCTAGATATGACATACGTCATATTTGGTGTAAACTCATTCCCTCTCCCCCAAAATGGTGTAATGGTGCAAAGAATGGTGTCATTGTTGGAGCAATATTTTTTATAAGTCCACCATTTTGGTGTTGAATTTGGTGTGTGTTGGAGTTGCTCTTAGTACTCTGTATTAATAAAAACATCATGACAAAAATGTGATTTAGTAATAAGTAATAATGACTATAATAATTGTGTTCAAAGTTTACATCGTAATCACTTACATGTAATTACTATGTTATAAATTTTGAAAATAGTTAGTCACGAATAGTTATTAAGTACGAAAAACACATGACATATTTTACTAAAATGTGACATTCTATATAGCATCCTCATACTTTTGTATGTTCACCGGTAACAATCTTATTCCTAGAACGGCATTTGTATTTAAATTTCTAGTAACATCAATTGTTTAAGTATAAAAAATCAGGGGATTATAAACGGATAAATTTAAATGTTTGTAGTAGAGTTATATAAGTAACAATATTTTTTTCGGAGTTGAATAGACCAAAAACAAACTAAAATAGTGCCTATTACAGGATGAAAAATAAATAAAAAATATTTGCAGAACCTCAATCAAAGTGCATTTGTCATATATGAAAGGACTAAACGTTCTTATTAAACCTTATTTTAAAAGGTTAATACGGAGTAAGTCATATCTTTACTCGTTATTCTTATTTTGGTGATATGTTATGGATTATTTCTTTATTTTGATCATCTACTTAATTAATTAATAGATTTGAGAATTTTTTCAAACTAATAAGTTCAACGTATCACGTATGCCTAAAAAAGTTTCTATATGTCAGATTGTCAGTATCAAATGTTATCCAAGAAATGTTTTGAACTAAACCTAACATCTTTTGGATTTTCCTATAAAATAGAATAACATGAATTCGGATCACACACCATTGTATATTACTCCGTAAGTTGGAAGGAAAAACAATACAAATCGAGAAAAGATTTATGTTCCAGGCGGCATGGCTGTCACATTCAAACTTTGATAACCTGGTTCGCGATAACTGGAATAACAATGAGAAGGTTACATTTAATTAAAAAAATGGCTGGTGTATTAACAGATTGGAATAAAGACACCTTTGGCAACATTCATTACAGGAACTCGAGATTGCTATCTCGCCTAGAAGGTATTCAAATTAAAGGAAGCTGGCTAGTACTTGAAATTGTGGCTTAATCAAATTAGCAAGGAAGCTTAAGGAGGAGCTTAATGATACGCTGAAACAGGAAGAAATACTCTGGTTTCAACAGGCTAGGGAAGATTGGATACGGTCCGGTGAGTTAAATACAAAATTCTACCATACTGCGACCAAAATTTAAAAAAAAAAACAAGGAGGAGCAACATTACTCTTATCTCAGAAAATGGGGAGGTGATTCAAGATCTGAATATGGCAAAGAGGCTGGTGGTGAACTATTTTAAGACCATCTTTTTGAAGGAAAGAGAGGATACAGAGTGGGATATGCCTAGGGGATGGTTTCCTACTCTGACTTATGATGAGAGCTACATGTTAAACTGGCCATTTTGCGCAAAAGATATTAGGACTGCAATGTATGACATGAACCCCTTAAAGCACCGGGACCAGACGGATTTCATGCAGGATTCTATCAAAAACAATGGCACAACGTGGGGGCTAGAGAGTGTCGTCTTGCAGACTTTGGAATATCTTCATACATGAATCATGCCCCCAGAGGTGAACGATTGTCATGTCACCCTTATCCCAAAGGTCAATGGCCCCTGCAGAGTCAATCAACTTAGACCAATCAGTCTTTGCAACGTAAGTTATAAAGTTATCACGAAGACTATGACTAGCTAATCGCATTAAAGGGATCATGAATAAGCTGATATGGTCAGAACAGAGTAGTTTTGTCCCTAATCAACAAATCACAGATAATATTATTATCTATGAGGAGATGTTGCATTCGATGAGAAAAAGACAAGGAAAAAAGGGTATCATGACAATCAAAATTGACCTTGAGAAAGCTTATGATAAGATTAGATGGGATTTCTTGGAAGATACTCTTAAAGAAGCAAGGTTCAACTCAGATTGGAGAAGAAATATTATGGGGTGTGTTCGAATTGCTAGACTGGCGATTCTTTGGGATGGAGGACGGTCAGAGTGAATTAATCCTGAAAGAGGAGTCCGACAAGGAGACGCAATCTCACCTTACCTTTTTGTTCTTTGCATTGAAAGACTCAGCCACATGATTCGTGAGGCAGTTGATCAGGGCCGGTGGAAGGGAGTCAAGCTCTCCAGGTACGGTCCAACACTCTCCCACCTATTATTTGCAATCATAAAAGATTGCTTGAATAAGTTTAGTCATGCTTTGGGCCAAAAAGTGAACATTCATAAAACTAGTGTTTGCTTCTCACGGAACGTTCAAGTGAATGTGGCTAACCAAATCCTGGAAATAGCAAGGTTCCAACAAACAGATAACTTAGGGAAATATTTGGGGGTCCCCTCCATTCATGGGAGGGTTACATCAGATTTATTTAATCCTATGATGGATCGCATTACTAATCGTTTGGAGGGCTGGAAAGTTAAATATCTCTCCTTTGCTGGACGACAGATTTTAGCACAAACAATCTTGAATACTATTCCCTACTATATTATGCAGTCAACCCTTTTGCCATGAGTTGTTTGTGATCTAAAAGACGTTTGCACCTTGTTAATTGGAAGACAATCACACAACCAAAAGAGAAGGGAGGCCTCGGTATCAGGAAAGCACAAAACATGAACCTAAGTTTTCTAGCCAGATTGGGATGGAGAATTAAGACATAGCCGGACCAGCTGTGGGTACGAGTAATTATGGCAAAATATGCATATGGGAAAGAGGGGATCAACAATGTTACTTCAAGAGTAGGCGCCTCTAATGTTTGGAAGGGAATTTGCCTAGCAAAACATTTGCTTGAGCAAGGTATCCAAAAAATTGTAAGGAATGGCGGAAACACAAGATTTTGGCATGACGTCTGGTTGGGTAATACACCTTTGAAAGATAAGGTCCCTTTGAATAAACAAGATTGTATACATGATGAGACGGTAACTAATATGTGGAATGTGGGCCAAGGCTGGAAGTGGGAGGTTCTGGATAACTTGCTTCCGGAGGATATCAAAAGCACATTGGAGTTATACACAATCAGCAACACTAAAGACGAAAGCTTTTGGTACCTCACTAGCACAGGTGAATTCTCAGTTAGTTCTGTGTATGAACTCATTACACATAATAGTCTCACCTCACGGGATACTGATTGGGCTAAATTGTGGAAGCTTAAATTTTCCAAACCGCATTAGGGCATTCTTAGTGCTAGCATGACATGAACGACTGGCTTGCAATGCTGAAAGATATCGGAGGCATATAACAATGGTAGATAATTGTGATTATTGTATTACTAAGCTTGAGACAGTCAACCACGTGTTACGAGATTGCCCTAATGTTAATACGATTTGGAAGAGATTGTTGGGAGCAAGTAAAACATATAACCTGGCATCTCTCCCTTTTAAAAAATGGATGGATGTCAGTATTGGGGGGCATATTAGAACAACATATGGCGAGGAGTGGCCGACAATATTTACAATCACTTGCTGGTGGGCATGGGGGTGGAGAAATGAATATGTGTTCAATGGAACTGAGCTTGATGAGGATAGCAAGCTAGAGTGGATCTTGTATCAGAAGAGTGTTGTGGTCAAAGCCATTTACAGTCGTATTATGGGGGGAGATTCTTGTGATAACATCAAAGTGACTTTGGTTAAATGGCAGAGTCCGATGGAAGGCTGGGTGTGCTTAAATGTGGATGGAAGCATGGATCACAGAAGTGTGCAGTGCACTGAAAGAGGACGAAATGGGTTGTAGCTGGGCTAGAAATGTGATTGTGAGAGGCCTCTCT